TGTGTGTGTGTGTGTGTGTGAGTGTGTGTGTGTGTGTGTGTGAGAGCATCTCTGAACACACACACTCCTGCAGCGCCGTCCAGGTCTCGCCCCAAAATCAAGAAATTATATTTAGCATAAAATTAAGCCTGTTTTTATTACCTCTATTTATATTTATTTCATTACATTCTTAAACATTTTTTATATATTATTAAAAATAATTATTAGATTATTTTTTATATTTGTATATTTAGGTTGGCTTGAGAAAAAACCTACTGATCTGCTACTTAAGCTTATTATTATTATTATTATTATTATTAGATAAAATCTCTGAACGCAACATGCTAGAAGCATGCTAATCATGCTATAAACATGCTAGTGAAATGGTAGTAACGTGCTAATCATGTTAGCAACATGCTAGTTACTTGCTAATCATGCTATAAACATGCTAGTAACTTGCTAAACATGCTAGTCTCTTGGTAATCATGCTAGCGACATGTTAGTAGCATGCTAATCATGCTATAAACATGCTAGTGAAATGGTAGTAACGTGCTAATCATGTTAGCAACATGCTAGTTACTTGCTAATCATGCTATAAACATGCTAGTGAAATGGTAGTAACGTGCTAATCATGTTAGCAACATGCTAGTTACTTGCTAATCATGCTATAAACATGCTAGTGAAATGGTAGTAACTCGTTAATGTTGGCAACATGCTAGTAACGTGCTATTCATGCTAACAACATGCTAGTTAACTTTGCTAATAATGTTATCAACATGCTAGTAAAATGCTAATCATGCTAGCAACATGCTAGTCCCTTGTTAATTATGCTAGTAACAGGCTAATCATGCTAAATCATGTTAATCATGCTAAAAACATGCTAGAAACATGTTATCAACATCTATCTAATCTATCAAAATTTTCGAACTTTAGTCTTTTACAACTGCTTTAAACTTCAGGCTTTCTCACGCCAACCTAAAGTCTTGACAAACTTTTTTATCTAGTTGTATTTATTGTCATTCTCGACGCTGTAAAAATGTTTTTGTAATGTTTTCTTGGTGATTCTCATTACTGTAATGCAGTGATTTTTTTATTTGAGTCGGCATGAACTAAAACTAATAAATAATAACTACTAATGAATCCAGTCTGGTCCAGTGTCGCTGATGGTCTGCTGTGTTCAGGATGTTCAGTGTGATGTCATATCCTGCATCATGTGTGCCATCATTAACACCAGCTGTGCTGGAAATAATCATCATCATAACACATCTCGCGCTTTACAAAGAGTCTTAAAGGAATATTGCACCCAAAAACGAGCGCAGACTCGCCTGGACTGGCTTTCAGTGATTGTGTGTTTAATACAAGTTAAAGCGTGTGAAAGAATCTGTCGGTGCAGTGAGACAGAAACACAAAACTAGTCAGTGCTGCTTCTCTTGTTTGAAGGATCATTAGGTAAAAGCTCTCTAAGCAGTGTGTCGTAGCATGTGTGTATGGTAGTGTGTGTTTTATGTGATTTAGTGTGTGTTTCTGTGATTTCTCAGGCAGTGCGTGTAAGACTGTGGATGTGAAGACGACCGTCATACCCAGAATAAATCACACTTGCATATTCTCGTCTTTGCGTTCAGATTGTTTCTGTTCTGAGGCTTCGTGAGATGAGGATCTCACACGGATCTGCTGTTTCCACAGCACTGTCATTAGTCTTTCTGTTTCAGTGGAATCTCAGTCCATCTCAAGACGGCCAGAAATTATAAAGTTTTTGTTTTTGAGGGATTACTTCCATGTATTGCACATTCAGCAGTGACATATAGTTATTTGAACTGGTTTAGCCACATGAGCTGTTTCACTGAGGCCCCCTAGTGGCTCCTGCTTGATTCATCACTGAGACACACTGGAGCGCTGGATGAGCATCTGTTAGATCAGAGACATCCAGTCTAATGAGCATCAGGCATATTTATAAATATACAACGCATGCAGTTACACAACTAGTCAGTAGTCAAGTCTCTTCTGCTCAGCAAGGCTGCATTTATTTGCAATATTAATCTTTTGTAACATTATAAATGTCTTTACTGTCACTTTTGATCAATTTAATGCAGCCTTGATGAATAAAATTATCAAGTATTGTTCTAAAAAAATCTTACTAACTTTTGAATGGTAGTGTATCACGGTTTCCACAAAAATATCATGCAGCACAACTGTTTTCAACATTGATGATAATCAGAAATTATTATCAATGTTGAAATAATATTTCTTTTATCTTTCAAAAATAAAAGAAAATCTGAAAATCTTAATTGCAAACTTTTGACACACGTCATTATATTTTGATATATTAGACCCGAAACAGGCAGGGATTTGTGATCTCACCCCTGCAAACGCACACGCTGATATTACACTGTTCATGTAGAGGATAAATCACTGCGCTTGAAATGAAGTCTAGCCCAGCGTTTGTTTCCTGTTCTACTTCCTGTGTCATGACCTCAGTGACAGACAGGAGCTGCTGCTCTCTCTGTTTTCACTGTCTCTTTATTGTGCCTTAGTAGCATGACAAAAGCCTTGTTAAACATTTCACTTTATAAAGCAACAATTAATTAACTTAAGTAAATTATGAATAAATTATAAATAAATAATTGTAAAATATTTTTCGTTTTCTGTTTATCAGCGTTTGGCCTATTAGCTAAATATAGTAGACGTGTGTTTGCAGGCGTGTGAGAGCAACAGACAGACAGGCAGAGAGACGGACAGACAGATAGACAGACAGACAGATAAACAGACGGGCAGAGAGACGGACAGACAGACAGATAAACAGACAGGCAGAGAGACGGACAAACAGATAAACAGACGGGCAGAGAGACGGACAGACAGATAGACGGACAGACAGATAGACGGACAGACAGATAAACAGACAGACAGATAAACAGACAGGCAGAGAGACGGACAGACAGGTAGACAGACAGACAGATAAACGGACAGACAGATAGACAGACAGACAGATAAACAGACAGGCAGAGAGACGGATAGACAGACAGACAGATAAACAGACAGGCAGAGAGACGGACAGACAGATAGACAGACAGACGGACAGACAGACAGACAGACAAACAGACAGATAGATAGAAAGACGGACAGATAGATAGATAGATATAACTCAATTTTACATAGGAATACATATGAGGTAACACTAATATCAACCAGATATAGATTATTGCATACAGGAAATTCCATGATACTTGTGGATTACCACCTATAAGGTCAAATATACATGCAAATGGAAGGTAATTCTTAAATTGTGCAATAATATCCATAATGTTGAAGTGAGTTTACTGATAGCACACATTTTCATAAACAATGAATTCCTTATCTTTGGGTTTGTTTACTTATGTTATGTGGTTTTCCTGTATGGTGATCCTGCCCATTAGAACAGAGCCAAACTGAACAAAACACAAACAATTAACTTTACCATCCATTTCCCATCTGCTGGCTGTCTAAAGGCCCATGTGTGTTGAATAAATAGCAAACACAGGCACAATTTATTCACTGTGTCTCTCATAATCCCTTAGCATTAATGAAAATGATCACGTTAATTAGAAAAAAAAAATAAAAATGGTTGAAAGCCGAGAGCGGAGAAAACTAATTCTTACCTAGTCTTCATACTGCATATTTCCCCAAATTCCTACAAATTAAACCACATTTTATGGCATTACCAAATGCAGAAAAATTAAGTCACATTCCAAAATGATCCCCACAGCAGCACAATATGTATCAGCCTGTCACACACTCAGACTGTCAGCCAGTGGACAAAACTGAAGCAAGAGCATTTCTTACATGTACTGTTGTGCAAAGTTTTTTTCTTTTAACAATGTCTTTAATATTTTTCTTGTTTCTTGTTTGTGGAGAAAAAAAAAGAAAGTATACATGTACTTATTTACTTAATTATTTTACATATCTATTCTTGTTTATGTATTATATAATTGTTTATTCCTTATTCATGTAATGGACAATGGTTTGGCAATACTGTGCAAGTCATGCCAATAAAGCTCATTTGAATTGAAAAAAATGTAATTGATAGACAAAGAGACGGAGGGAAGGACAGATGGACAGACAGACAGACGGACAGACAGAGAGACGGACAGACAGACAGACGGACAGACAGAGAGACGGACAGATAGACAAAGAGACGGACAGACAGACAGACAGACAGAGAGAAGGACAGACAGATAGAGAGACAAAGAGACGGACAGACAGACAGATAGACAAAGAGACGGACAGACAGACAAACAGACAGACAGAGAGACAGACAGATAGACAAAGAGATGGACAGACAGACAGACAGACAGAGATAGATGTACGGACAGAGAGACGGACAGACGGACAGATAGACGGACAGACAGACAGAGAGAAGGATAGACAGAGAGACGGACAGATAGACAAAGAGACGGACAGACAGACAGACAGAGAGACAGAGAGAGAGACGGACAGATAGACAAAGAGACAGACGGACAGATAGACAGAGAGACGGACAGATAGACAAAGAGACAGACGGACAGATAGACAGAGAGACGGACAGATA